GGACGTCCCGGGCGCGGGGCTGTCCCGCACGCATCCGCGGCCACCTAAGACACTGCTGAGGAAGGAGGTCGGTTGTGCAAAACCTTGCGGCATCGGAGGTCACTGGGAAGCGCGGTAACCCAGGGCTCAGCTCTGCCATTCCATCGCACGCTCGAGGGAAATCGAGGAGGAGAAACCCTTAGGCGTGTAGCTAAAAAAAGGGATCACGATGAGAATACAAGTGTTAACTCCTTCTGCCGCCTCCTCGGGGTTCTCCTGGCAAGGCGGCGTCAGAGTAATTAAATACATTCACAGAACGTTAATCAAAATAAGCTTCTTCCCAATTAGAAACTGGGCCCCCAATTTTAAGATCTGGTCTTCTGGGGGGGGGTTAAAGTTTTGTGGAGGTTTTTCCCCCTCTTCCAGCAAAACATCCTCAGCTAGCCAATTATATTTTTCCCCTCCCCTATTTTGACTTTACAAGGTTCTCATTTTTACCAAGTGGCTAATTGGGAATACACCACCCCTGAGTTACAACCGTTATCTTTCTGCCGCCACCTGAACGCTGTGTGCAAAATCATCCTTCTCCTTCAAAATTTCTGAAGGTACAGACCTTGTCTTTTCCTCCCCACGTTAGTAACGAGTTCAAATAAAAGAAAAAGAGGAGATCGAATTCTATAGCATTTTGCTTTTACTCCTTCATGGAATCTTTCCAATGCAACTTCACAAAAGCAACGGAAATAAAGTCTTTTTTTTTTTTTCTTCTAAAAAGAAGATTACGTTCCACAGATTATGTAGTGCAATTGGTTATCTGGTAGGAAAAAAATTATCTTCTTCAGCTCCACGGAAGGAAACGCTGAAAACAGTTCCACGGTCTCAATAAAAATAGGAAAGTATATCCAGGATGGTCTGTAAAGTTTTTTTTTGTGTTGAACACACAATACCTACTACTCTGCCTTTAATTGAAGAGTATGGAATCTGGGTCCTGGTTAGCCAGCTGTGCAATGTGCTTTAATACGTCCTTTTTGGTAATGATCCCCAGCAGCTTCCTGAAAATGAGAACACATTTTAGCGCATCACCCCGCGCAGAGGTATCCTCGCTCCCGCAATCGTAACGCCCTGCAGAGGCTGAAGCGCCTCTTCGGATCACGGTGCTGACGCTCCACATGAAGTACGGTGCTCACAAACCCTGACAGAAACTCTATTTTACGGTATTTTACACTAAAAAAGGTAAGGAGGTTATACCCAAAGGACAGATATTAATGCTTCTTAACACCCACCTTCTCTGAACAGATCAGCCTGACGGCCTAGTGCTGCAGTTTAAGCCGTAGCGCTCTCAGCAGCCGTGCCGTCAGAGGTGCTGACAGGCACGGCAGGACCTAGGGCATCGGCAGAACGTCTCTGGGGAGCGATGCTGAGCAAGGCAGCTGCCTGTCAGGAGCCGAAAGGATCGGCTGGTCCAAACGCACGGCAGCAGGGCACAGGGAGAGGATTCCTGCTAGTGCCCGCTGCACGAACGGATCCCTCGGCTTCTATCTTAAGAATTGCTTTTTTCCAGACAACAATCGCTCCAGCTGACGCTCAGCGCTCTCCACACCAGAGGCCTTCGTTCACCCCAAGGAGAGCAGGTTTTGACTCAGGTCTACAGGCAACCCTGGGAGCCCGGGGCTCTGCCTGCAGCGTTCTTACCCGTTGTGAGTAACCAGGCACTGGCGCAATCCCAGCTTGCGGAATATATCCACGACGATTTCCATGGGAGTTTGGTCTGTGACTGTGAAAGGACTGAGGTCCAGGATGCTCCTGAGTTTCAGCATCGAGGGGGAGCTTGGAGGCAGCGGAGGAGAGTGGTCAGTGAAATAAATAATTGAAGTGCTCACAATCCCATCCTGCTTCTTCCGGGCATTTTCTGGAAGAAGAAATACTTGATTAAATATCATCCCTCCTTTCCATTTCCCAACCAAAGAGCATACCCTTCTCTCTCTGCCCACGTTGGGATGGCCTTAAAAGTCCTTCCCTTCACCTGCGCTGTTTCTTGAGGCAACCGATGACCCAAGGAGGGTGCGATACGTTTCCATCCTATCTTCTAATAACAACATCATAACCTCTAAGGCCTCCAGTTTCACCCCAGGGGTGAGATCAGCGCACGCTCTGCCTAACGTCACGGCTGCCACGCATCTCGGCCACGTAAATGCCAGGACTTCCACTCAGGTCTCACGCTGGGAAACGGCACTTGCAGGTTTCTAAGAAACCAGAGAGCAAGAGGAACCTAACTGTGACCAGGCTGGCTCTCAGCGGGGAAGAGAGAAGGAAGACTTTAACAGCAGCACGGATATTTGCAGGTTTGACAGCACCACCTCAGAAGTGACCCAGTATTCAGGACATGGGCCCACCGGGCTTTTTTTCCTTAATGAAATAAAATAAGGTTCGAGGCACTAACAGTTAAGATAGCTTTCCACGTCCAGTCACCCACAAAGTCGGGAAAGCTTAGTTCTTGCTGGCAAGAAGCCTCAACCGTGCCCTAAGGTTTGGGAATCCAGCAGAGCCACACCGATTGCACCGGGCGAGCCGTGCTGTCCTCGCGCTCAACCCACGCGGACCCCAATGCGCAGCCACCGTCACTGCCGGGTGTTTAAACTCGCCAAGTAAAGTACGGCTGGTGCCATCTAAGGCCTCTGAGGGCATCATTTATCTACACAGCATCTTGCCTCTTACCAATTGAAATGATGAGGTCTCTCCTGAGGACGAATCCGACCAGCCTTTGGGACTCCCGCGACACCACCACGGGATAGCCACTGTACGTGGTGTCGTTGATGATGGTCTCGACGTCTTCTACGGTCATGCTGTCCTGAGTGATGACAGTCAGAGGAGGATCGTTCCTCCTTGGCCTCATTACGTCCATCGCAAGCGTCTTGTGAGAGAACTCTTCCTTGGCTTCCAAGAAAGGGTATCCGTTGAGGCGAATGTGGGCATCGTAAATGCCTTCTCGCCCAATGGCATCGGCCACCCACTTGCTGGTCATGGCTGCTGCCATCAGAGGAACGATGTATTCCAGCCCACCAGTGAGCTCAAACATAATGACCACTAGTGACACGGTCATTCGGGTCACTCCGCCTGCAAACAGAGCACAGGAAGACAGGCGTCACGACAGGCAGTTTTGGGGGTTTCCAGGCAGGAGAGCTGTTCTGAGGTTTGCTACAGCTGTCCTGTGCCAACGCAGCTAGAGGAGGTCTTTATCAGCACGAGGTTGCGCGCTCGCACCCCTACGTCACATTCAGCAGCGCAGCGGGCGCCAAACGCGCAGAACGCAGTGCCAAAACCATCCGTCCCTTCCAGGACATCGTGCCACGGGCTGGCTTCCGAGGGTTTCCTACACGGTTTTGATGGGTTTTTCCCTGAACTCAGAAGCAACCTTACAAGACAGCGAACTTCCTCTCATGCTACTCAGCCAGCTGCAAACCAGCCCGGCCACGGCACAGAGGGGCCTTTACACACCTCCACGGGCAGAGTCACGAAACGCGACCTCCGACAGCCGTACGTGACAGGCAAGGGTCGTCCCCGCAGCCGCGGGTCTCTGCCATTAATTCCCCAAGGGCGTCACACAACTCACCTTGCGGGTTTGCCGGCTTTGAGCCGGACATTCTGACTACTGTTCATCACACTTTTGTAGGTTTTCGACGCTAAAACCATTGAGGCATTTCCAGAGAAAATAGATGAGTCTTCTTAAATACTGACATCAGTCTTTTATAACAGCATTTTGTCTTGGTGCATTTTAATTATGAGATTCAAGTCCCAAAGCTACTCCCAAATACTTTAGAAGAGTTTTGCTCCAATAACCATCTCCTAAAGGGGCACGCACCCTTTAGTACTGCCCACTGGTAAACGGAACAGTTAATGAAGCAGAACCGTATTTATTTTTCATCAGTTACATGCAAGAAAGAAGGTGCATCCCCTTGAAAAAGGCCAAAGATGGGGTTTGGTAGCATGCTCTTGTTGTTCCTGAAATGAGAGTTTCTCCTGATACAGTAAAGCTGTCCCTTAAGAGCTAAACGTATTATTCCGTGGAGGAGAGGATTGGGAACTACAGTGAAAGTGAAGTTCAGTCACGTGCACTCAATTTCTCAAATTCAGCCAAGCGGAAGAGTGTTACCAAAAAACAGAGTGCTTGAAAGAAGGGTTACATCATAGGATGTAAGGCCAGAACAGGAAGTAAAATAAATTAAAACCCCACAGGAAAATCTACCGTCCCTGGCCAGTCTCGCTTGTTCCAGCTGCCCGCTGAAACCTGTCACGTCCAACAACAGGTTGGGGCCGGCAAAAGAACGCCAACGGGATGAGAAGCGATTGCACGTTCTACTACAAAGCCTCCTTTCTTGAGATGAAGCCAGCTGCGAGGACAGCAGCGGCATTTCACCACCACGTGTCTTCGCACGGCCGACCACGACCCAAACCGCAGGCGGGACTTGAGGAGACACCTCGCTTACCTAGACAGGCTGCAGCCCCCACCATCGCGTAGAGGCCGGGAGTGATGCAGTCGGCGCCTTGGCTGCACCAGCCGCTGAAGATGGCCCAGTCGTGGTGGTAATAGGCCAGCTGCTCCACGGCCACGCCGAGCAACCTGCCCGCTATCGCGCCCACCGCCATGCTGGGGATGAAGAGACCCGAGGGCACCTGCGAAGACACCCATCGGTTAAGGCGCCGCTTCCCAGACGTTTCAAAGACAGAAGTTCTAGCCGGACCGAGTTAGAGGTGACGCTGAAGCTAGAACTGGCAGGGATGCCTTGCTCTGCCACCCCTGCCCCTCCGCGCCCCCGCGCTCCTCTGCACAGAGTTTACGTTTACTCCTTTCTGAGCAGGAGAAACGGCCGCACGAGGTTAGTATGGAACAGAGCGGGATTTTTCAAAAGCTTTTTTCACAAGAGAATATAACGCAGCGTCACCCGCACACCGCTAATGCTCCCCCGCACCTTTCCGGCCGCACGAGCACGTGGTTATTGCACGCACGGGATTTTCCCACTCTGCCGGTTCACGTACCGGCAGTGGCATCGCCCTTCTTCCCCGGCAGGAATTCAGGCTCCACCGTGAAAGCGAGGGAGCCTGGAATTAGCACGCACAGCACAAGTGACACCCAGCAGAGCCGCTGCCAGCAAGTTTCCCCTCTGCACTTCAGCTGCCCCGGACTCCAAAAGCTCCTGTTCTCCGGAGTCCGGGAATCTCCCCCCTTCCCTTGACACACTTGTCATACAGCCTTCTCACACGCTGTACGTCTTTCCACGGGCTCGGTGATGCCACCTCAGGGCAGCAATGATGTCCAGACCTCTGCGGTGGGGTCACCTTCCTGGACGGAGCCCTGGAGGAACGGGGGGCAGAGGAGATGCTCCCCTCCACCTGCGGACCCCCAGACCCCAGCAGCACGGCCACAGCTCGGGAGGCTGCCCCCAAACAAGTCCAGAACCGTCTGCCCAAGGAACAGCTATGCTAAGTAAGCTTTTACGAATAAAGACAGCGATTGCTTTGCAATTAGCTATTGCATGTATATTGCAAACATATCAAAAAGGCTTGAGGCAGGACAATTTAGAAGCGTTATGCGTCTGAAAAATGGGACATGAAGCCCTGAGACACAGTGGCTGCATCTGGCGCCCACACTCAGGCTAAAAGCCTTCTGCTGCCCTCAGTTGTGAGGAACAGAACAAATAACTGCCGGCAACCACCTTGTCCCCTTCTTAACAGAGCTTGGGGAGGAAAACATGTCTGTCGAGCAAATAAAACTCTTAAGACGTGGGGTTCCTGCAGAGGATGAGAAGAACGCGAGCTCCTTTACAGGCAATTCTCACCTTCATGCCAAAGGTGAAGATCGTGATGAAGACTTTCATTATCAGGGCCAAAGCCAGCTTCCACATGGCTGTGTAGACTCCTGGGCCAGCAGCTCGGTCCGGCAGGTCGTCCCCTTTGGTGCTGTTGAAATCATTCACATACTCGCAGAGCTTGGACGAGTCCAAAATCCCGCAGTCATTGAAGAGCTCAGAAATCAGCTCGCTGGTGCTCATCCTGGTGTACTCGTTGGGAAAGGCCAGAACGGCCGTGATGGCGGTCACCACAAACACCTCCAGCACAGGGTATTTGCCGAGCTTGGTCGTCTTGCGGCGCCTGCACCAGGCAATGTTGCTGCGAATGAACAAAGCTCCCCAGAGCCCACCAAATATTCCCAAAAGGATGAAGGGCACGAGCTCCAGAAGATGCCACGGCATGTGAAACTCCACGTAGAAGAGAACCAGGCGGCTGTTCCCAAAAGGGTTGATGGAGCGCAGGGTAAACGCGGCGACCAGAGCGGCGAAGAAGGAACGCCACAGCGTCTTGAGAGGAAAGTAGTAACTGACCTGCAAAGGAAAGACAAAGCGGATTCAGTCACTTTAACGCCTGTCATACACTGATCGCTGCCCACTGCAGGAAGTCAAAGCAAGGACTGAGATCAACGCACGCCGGCGGCGTACCCTCCTCTCCAGCCAAGCACCCCGGGCTCTGTGTTGCGCTCCCGTTCAACGCGGTTGCGATGACCTGCACGCTTCCAGCGCAGCAAGTGCCCTCTACGATCCCTGGAGTGGAGGTGACTGACTCGGCTAATAAAAGCTGTCACAAATCAGCTATGAGCTGAACCCAGACAATTATTTGCCTTGCGTGCTCTGCAAAGTCCAGAAGTGCCAAACAACAGCGCTAGCCAGAGCTGCCACCACAACTATTGCTGAGCTGAGCAAAACCAGCCCACTCCTCCTCCGAGCGAAGCCCTGAAGCAAGCAGCGGTGATCCATTTCACGTCTGGATCCAAAGACCAGGGGTTAGAAGTGCCTTGGGAAGGAAAGGGGTTTGATAAGCCAGGTAAGTTTGTTCCCAGGTACCCTGGGACAGAGCTGTCAGGAGAGAGTGGATGTGTGGAAAACATGGGAGAGGCCGTGGCTGTGAGCAGTCAGTGTTGCTGAGCACGGACAGACCAGGGGAAACCAACAGGTTTATCGCAAAGCTATGGACAGACATCATCCAAAATAAATTCTCCAGTATTCGGAAGAATTACCTGAAACCCCAATAAGCTTTTAGGTTGCTTGGCCTTGTAAATACACCAGCAATCAGTATTCAACAGGGTCTCCTTTCCACACCCAAGCAGTTATGACTGGACTGTATTTTTAAAGCAGCAGGGTCAGATCTTGCAATAAAACAGCTCGCCAAGAGCTAATAGAAAATGCTGATGTTACCTCTTCCAGGCTAAAGAGCACTCCTCCGATCGGTGCACCAAAAGCTACAGACACACCAGCAGCTGCAGCTGCTGATAAAACCTAGGACAGAAACCAAAGACAGTCAGACATTTTTCAGGCTCCCCCTCCTTTTTTGTTTGTCTTTACTTAAATTTGTATGATTTTTCTCCTCCAGTGAGCGCGCAGTAAGCCAGGGTCTGACCATCACTGGCAATTCCCTTTCTGTTTCAGCTGATTTCATGCCTCGCTTTCGCCTTGGGTAAAGCTCCAGTAAAACAGAACCGCGGTAATTTCCCCTCCCAGAACACGCTAACTTTTCCCATCACCAACGAGACGACGACCCGCGCTGGGGAGATGCTGCGGCGTCACTTCCGAACCGGGACGGCTTTTGCCCCAAGTAGGTGCTGTGCCGAGGCAGACCGAGAGCGTGCCGCGTCGGAGCAAGCTACAGCCGGTGCAAAGCGCCAGCCCCCCGCACCGCCCCGGCGGTTTGACAACGCCGGTGCGTCTCCGTACCTCTCTGCGCTTCGCTTCGTTCTTCCTGTATTTGGTGAAGAGGTGACACAAGATGTTCCCACAGCAGCAGGCGACGTGCACCAGGGGCCCCTCCTTGCCCAGGCTCAGCCCGGAGGACACCGCCAGCACCAAGGTGATGGTTTTGATGATCAGTGTCCACTTGCCCAGGTAGCCTCTAATGATGAAACCACTTAAGATAGTTTTGATCTGGAAGTCAAGCACACAAAGCTCTACAGGCTTTCATTCAAGCCCTGGTCGGAGCTCCTGTTTTACAAGGCACTCCCAATCCTGCCCGCAGCTCTCAGAGTTCCCCCCAGCTATCAAAAGTAGCGCAGAGCGGGTAAAAATATCCCTCTGTGCCAAGGCAGAAACAGCCATGTGAGTCCTTCCTTCGGGGCCACCATCCCTGCTGAGGAAAATCTCAGGCTGGCTTTTGTAGCCTGCCTCACACCAACGGTGCGCTTCTGTTTGTGCCTCCTGCAGTAAACGCCAAAACAGTTCAGTTTTTAAAGGGACTGCACGGAGACTGAAGTACTAGACGCGTTTCAGCAATAGTTTGGATAAAAGCATACACTAAGCCACCATCTAAGGTGCAAGAAATTATTATTCCACAGCAGGCTTTTATAATCTTTGGGTGCTGGATCCCCACCCCACCTTAAAAAAAAACCCGACCCGCTTTCGTCCTCACTCACCTCTGGGATCCCTGAGCCACAGGCATAGGGAGCAAACCCCTTCACAAGTAACACAGCCAGAAGGGAGAATAACAAGGCCCAGATAACGTACATGAAGTAGTTGAGAATATACGCAAAAGCCCCCTGGAATGCAGAGAAAGTTACCCAAATTAGATCATTTCAAGTGAGATCACATCAAACCTGCGCACTGAAGCAAGAACACGGAAAGAGCAGGTTATCTCACACGCGGTTATCAGCCAAAACCAAAGAGAACTACAGCAAGTCTGAGGTTTCAAGGACGAGTTACATCTGCTGGTTCCGGGGATACGAACCAATCCCATCTCCAAAGACCCCGATATAAAATAGCAACGCCTGAACCGCCTAGAGCTTGTACGTCTGGCATATACATCCAGATCAGCAGCGAGGGACGACGATACGGGCTGGGGAAGCGGGACACGCGGCAGCAAAGCCAGCTGTAGGCACGCGTCACCTCTCCGTGGCCGAGGATCAGCTGGGACCAGCTCTTCCACTCGGGACACTTGTCTCTGTCCGTGAAGGTTGTGTTGGATTTCCAGCAGCAGTGCTCGTGGTTAAACCAGAAGCCTGCTAAACACACTCCTTCTTTCAAATCTGTCATCCAGTGGGCAGAAATGTCTATCAGACCCGCTAAGGAACCTGGTTGAAAGAGAAAAGAAAAGATAAAAATTTAACAATTGCCTTCTGCAGACTCAAATACCTGAAGGTTACAGGCTGCCCTATTAATTTTTGACTCACCTACCAACAAATAGACCAGTACTGAGATTTTTGCCTACAATTCATTTTTATTCTGTAGAGAGCTAATTGGGAAGATTTAAGTACATATATTGAAAGGAGCAGGTCAGGAAACTGAGTACACCTAATAATATTTCACAGGTTGACCACTGCAAACCGCTTTTGACCCCACCCTACATCACTAGAAATTAAGTCTTCTCA